CATCTTGCACAGCGCGGCGTCGGGCATCGGCCACCTTCACTCGCTCGAGCCGGCCATCATACACCGCGACCTCAAGCCGTCCAATCTGCTGGTGGACGAGAACTGGAACGTGAAGGTGGCCGACTTCGGGTTCGCGCGCATCAAGGAGGAGAACGCGACCATGACCCGCTGCGGCACGCCCTGCTGGACCGCGCCAGAGGTACTGCGCGGTGAGAAGTACTCTGAGTCGGCTGACGTGTACAGCTTTGGTATCATCATGTGGGAGGTACGGCGCACCACTACCACGCAGCGCTCAACTTTAGATGTGTGAGTGTCGGACGCTGACTGTTGATGGTGACGTGCTGTGCTGTGCTGTCCGCTCAGGTCTTGACGCGTAAGCAGCCCTATGCCGGCCTCAACTTTATGTCAGTGTCACTTGACGTGCTGGAAGGCCGCCGGCCGAAAGCGCCAACTGATTGTCCCAGCGGTATGTAGCTCGCCTTTCCGTGGTGGTGGTGCATAGATGATATGGCACACCCAACCAACCTTCATTTCAACAACACCACACAGACTACAAGCAGCTGATGAAGAAGTGCTGGCATGCAGTACCAGACAAAAGACCCTCCATGCAAACCATCATCAGCTTCTTTGAGAGCCATCAAGGGAGTGGTGAGGCAGGAACTGACCGTGTATAACAAGCACCCCAACAAGGCCTCAATTTTTTGGATGTGCGACCCCTCACCATTTATTGAGTTGCTGAAGCACCGGTACCGGTTCCCAGAGCTAACAATCGGCATTGGGTGGGTTCAACTCTCGAGGGTGGGGAAATGTTTGCCTTCGGCTTGGTACAAACGAACTCCTCTCGGCGGCGGCATTGCAGAGCACGCGTGCATTATCTCGCCAAGTCCTACTCGTGGCTTTCTCGATGTACGACCGCAAGATCTTCCCCTTTCACGCGTGTGCGGGCATGCATGTGTGCGTGCGTGCGTGCGGTGCACACTCATCGCAAACCCTCGCGAGGAGACAGACAACAGCAACTCACGGGTGATGGTTTATGGTCTTTCTGTTGATGTCATCAGCATCGAACGAGAAGCGTACTTTGGTCGCTGTTCCCTCTCTCGTCTCCGCGATGGGCAACAACCGCGCTGGCTGCTTAGGTGCCTTTTAGCCCCTCAGTACTCTTGACGATTCAGAGTCTCATTGGGGTTATCCTCACGCAGGGCTAGGCAAGGGCCAAAAGAGGCTCGTGGGATGCGGCTTTCATGGTGCTCGCTGGCGTGAAGATAGATTTTGTGGGTGCCAGCGAGAAGGATTCGATTGCGGTGAGCGAGACTGGCGACATTTATGCGTTCGGTTCCGGCAACACGGGTGCGTGGAGACGATTCCCTCATTTTGTGAGCTTTCTCCCCCCTCTGCTTCCTACCTCACTCTCGCTTCAGCTAGCTGTACGTGTACTGCTCGCACGTGCCCGAGACTCATTCGTTGACGCCGGCAGGCCAGAACCATACCTTGCTGCTGGCCGCTTCTCCTTCTCCCAGAGACCAAGGGCGGTTCTTCCGAAGTATGCTTTCGGTCTTTACCTTGCATTGATTGGTCTCTCATTGTCGAGTGCGCACGCGGGTGCTTGCAGACGTCGGCGAAGTGGTTGTGGACCAGCCATACGTAAACCCGAGAATCGGCGAAATGGTGAGGAGTCAACTTGGACAAGGAGCCCTGGGAGAGAATCTGTTTTTGAGTATTTCACACGAGGTGCTGCAACATTTCACACGAGGTGCTGCAACAACTCACCAAAGATGATTTCCAGGTCGTCTTTCTCCAACAGACCGCCGACTTCGGCACGCGTGTGCGCAGTTTTCTGGTCTGACACCGTGGTGTTGTTGTGTCTTGTTGTAATTCAGGTCAATCCAATTCATAGTGAACTCCGGAGCACGTGCAAGCTGTTGCGACCAACCACAACAGCTGGCCGAGTTAACGCAACCTGCTTTATCTTGGTTACGGTGTGCCAATGGAGGTTACCGAACTCCGCATCGGTAGGTTCCGTCTGTCATTTTTCCTTCCTCGAAAATGAAGTGTGGCTATTGGTGGGTACCAACCAATCGCTGGCCACCGGCAAGGGAGCGGAGGGGAACATAAGGCGGCGGCGGACAGAGCGCACTCGCACTCCCAACCCGCTAAAGCACTACACCTACCCCCACAGGAGATGAACCGCTTTGTCACGCTGGTTATCCTTGCGTGCTTCCTCACCATCGCGGTATGGCTGCAACCTTTGTTTTAGCTACTCTGCGCAGTCGAATTCCCCGTTGGCCATGCAAACGGAGTTGTTGTTGTTGTTTTCTTCTTGCCAAAGGCGGCGGCGACGACCCGCGTGAAGGTGGCCATCGTCGGTGCTGGAGCCGCAGGCATCGGAGCCGGTTACCACTTCCATGAGAAGGGCATGGACGACTTTGTCATTGTGGAGGCCCGAGACCGAGTAGGAGGACGCTTGCACTCAGTTCAGGTAAACAACTAAGTTGTTTCCCCTATGATCAATGACGAAGCACCGCTTATGATCATCATCATCAACATCAACAACAACAGTTCTTCAACCACACCGTGGACTTGGGCGGTGCCTGGTTCCAGGGCACTAACGGAAGTCTCCTCTGGGAGCTCAAACAGTACGTTTTTACCGCTTCGCGATTAGAATCTACTCTCCTCCACTTCCGCACAATTTCAATTTCATCTCAAATTCAATATTTCTAAACTGCAGAAAGTATGATCTTCCGTGCGCCTACACCGACTTCGTGGACATGTACACTTTCTATCCCAACGGCAGCCTGATTCCTGATGTACGCACACACTCCTCCAACCGCTCGCTTTTGCCACCGGCCAACTCACTGTGTGTGTGTGTGTGTTTGTGTGGCAAAACGAATGCATTTCGCAGGACGTTGTGAATCACTACCTCACCGAGTCTGATGCCATGTACTCCGAACTGGAAGACGTCGCCGCCCAGATGGCTGAGCAGGTTACACCGGACAAGTCCCTCATGGGTGCAATTGAGGATATTGGTTTCCTGAGCAGTACCATGAACGAAACGGACTACGCTGTCAGGAATTGGA